TGCTTTAAGGGACAACAATCAGGTTTCTAATTATGACAAGTCTTAGCACCCACAATACTGGGAGTGATGGACCCAGGAGGATGGGAGTCTGTGTTCTCCCCGGGAGGGAGGAAGAACTACTACCTGTCCATAGGATCCTCCAGGATAGTAGAAAGGCCCTCCCTGTGCAAAGACAGAATGGGTTACTGGTTTGTATTTGTTTGCTCCTTCAAGGGAAGGTTTTGGATGGAGCTACTGAATGGGGCATTTTATCTGAATGTTTACCTGGTTACCAGAATATGTGCTGTGTGGATAACCTGGGGCTCCCTGAAATGAAAACACAGACTAGCTATTTTCTTGCAAACAGACATTTACATAAATGAGTCTATTCTGAATTTCTGTTCTTTCAAATAAAGCTTTTGAAGACCACATTACAGCAAACATTGAAAAAGAACGCTGGTTTTTTTTTTTTTTTTTTTTGTTAGAGATGAGGAAAACTAGCAGGTTCTGATTTTTTCTCTTCAGATTAAAAGATCTGAAAGTAGTAATAACATTTAATTTTACTCTTTCTAATCACAGAACCCTACGTCGTACCTTGCAGACTCTGTTGTTATAGACGATCATGATCTTGATGGTCTTTTTAAAAATTGCCGTAACACTGAACTTCCAAAGTGTAAATAGTATTTAGGGGAGCAGATTTTTCAGCTCACCACTTAAAAGAGAGCTATTTACCAGTCCATAGCATCCACTATTACTGCCACATCCCCTTCATATACTAAACAGGGAAAGTATTATTCTATGGTTAGACTGCTTCCTCAGAGACTAAGCAGACTAAGGGCTTGCCTTCAGATGAAACTTGGAGAAAAAGCAGAATAATTGCAGTGTGAGACATTTGAGATTCCACATAAGGAAAACCATTTTTCTTTGAAACAAGATCGTTTAAATATCTCTTGATTTATCTTGACCCTTAATCTCTAATAGTTTCCAGGTTTGAAGAGACCTTTGTGTAACTCACAGCTTTTAAATTTAAAAGAAAACTTTTTGCAGGAATTTTCCTCCTGTACTGAAGAATCTTCATGAAAGTAGATAACTCTCTCTTTTATGTAAGATTTATGAATGATGATTTATTTGTACATATACATCTACCTATTGCTTGCTTTTTTATTCAGAAGAATGTGCCTACTTATCATGGCAAATCTGTTTTCATGCTAATCTAAGGCACTGTAGCTGCTACATGTAGAGGGCTCTGGATAGAAAATGAAGATAGTTCTAGTTTTTAATTCAACCTATTCCTTGCAAAGATTGCTAGATTTTACTGCTGAGTGAAGGCAAAGATCAAGTCTATTGCTACCTAGTTTATCATAAGTTAATTTGATCAGCTGATAAAACTGCAAAGTGGAAAACAACTCTCTTGTGAATCAAAGTGGACACATTTACACTGTGAATTGATTTTCTACTGTATCCAATTTCGATGTCTGCTTTTCTGGGTGCTGAAAATTTTTTTGATAGCAACTAAATACATACACTCTCCTCTCCTCAACCAAGATGTGGTGGATTCCTCTTAAAAACTAAGTCCTTTTTTTGCAACCATTAAAACATGTAAAGAAAAGGGCTCACTAGAATGAAAACTTGCATAAAGATGTCCACCTTTTCCCTTGAGATGGATTTGTTGATGTAGATTTACAATCACATGATAAAAAAAGGTTTTTCCTCAACTAAGTTTCAGTATTAGTTATTTTAATAGTTTATATTTTAAAACATATAGGTCATGAGTATTGCTCAGCCTCAATTAGGTGAAAGAGGTGGTATTCTACCTTACCAAAATTACTGCCCTTTATTTTAAATTAGTGAAGTTAAGTTCAGAAAGCAGTAATTTCTTTACACTGTTAGTTTGTTTAAATAACATGGGGTTAATAGAAAGAATAATCCAAAAATGTTTCTTGTTGAAATTGAAAACTAAAAAAAAAATATGACACCATTCAAATGGTTTTATGTAAATACAACTTCAATAAAAGCTTCAAAATAAGTACTCTGGTAGAAGAAAGGTGACTTTAAAATCCGAGCTCATCTGGCTTTGCCAGGCAAAGCCAGAAGCCTGGTAAAACTACTCTAGAATGTCCAGGTAAGCACATTCCTTGGCCTTTTTCCCAGCCCAGAGGCATTGCCTAAGAGAAAAGTTTATCCAGTGCAAGTGACAATGAAATTACAGTGATTCTCTTTATGGGAAAGAACAGTTTAAATGTTGATTTAAGAAACACTTACAGATTTTGATATTTTAGTCACAGTATTTTATTGCACCAGTTAGAAAGATAAGGAAACTAATCTGGATGCAATGAAATTCTGTGGTTACTATGAGGGATAATGACTATTTTTTGAAAGTAATCAATAATTAGCACATAACAGTCAAGTGGCAAAACATCTGGGTCACCAAGCACAGCTACAGGAAGTTAGTGGCTGAATAGTAATTTTCCAGCTCAAGTAAAGTGGAACTCATTCTTCTGTTTCATTGTATGTAGTTCTACTCATACTAAGGAAATGAAGATTATTGCTCAGTGTTTACCAAGTGTCCATATTTACTAGGTGATTAATTCAAGGTACTCCATTACGTAGATCAAAGTATAAACTCAGAAAAATAATTACCTGTCTGTGACCACTGCTTCCATCAGGGCAAATGCAACCACCCTATAAATTTTTTAAAAAAAGGACACAATTATTGCTCCGTGGAAATTTAAAATAAAATCTTATTTCAGATATGAAGCAGTTTAGGGGAAGAAAGGTTGTGGGATTACAGAGTAGCTGTGACCTTTCCTACATTTAGAACAAATGAGGGGACAGCACAGCTCTGAATAGTTAACATTTGTTTTGGAAGTTGGACTGAGAGTACATCTCTTGGTGCTATGTCTCAAGGACAGATGCTCAGCAAGACAGAAGCATCAAGTTAGTCAAGAGTGCAGAGAATCCCCATAGTGCTCTCACCAAGAAACCATACATGGAATTGAAACAGTGTTCAATAGTGACTTCAGAGTTACTTCCGACAAATTTAATCTGAACAGTCACTTCATTTGCAATTTAATGCCTAACATGACCAATCCTCCATGCAAAACTACTTCACCTAAACTCTGACTCCTGAATTGCATTAGTTTAATTGCTAGAAGCAATATGGACAAGACTACTTAAAAATAAAGAAAATCCTGACCTGATTACTTGATCCACCACTGGTTGCAACGAATGATCCACCCTTTGAAGAAAACAATTATATTTTATCAAAGCATTTTATCAGAATCTGAAGTAAAAAATTATGTAGTGAGAAGTAAGGTGACAAACTCTTTCTACTACTTTCCTGCATGAACAAGCACTATCTGTTGAATCATTGTGAAAACATAAATTTGGATGGAAACTAATTAGTAGCTTGATACCATACACAGGGAATGGGTATCAGGAAAACTAATTAAGAAAACTGTTAGTTTCTGGAGCTTATAAATCTGACTGCACTATTGAATTAGATTGCAAACTCTCTTGAGACAGAGGACTATGCTGGTGTTAAAACTACATAATGTGGGATGTAGCAGGATTCAGGGTGTCTGGGAAGCTGATGCTTGAATAAAAACAGAATCAAGTACCACTCCGGATCAGTTAAGTTTCACTAAATTCTCTAACATATACACTGCTGTGTCAGTACATGATCCTACAGAATATGAAAGTTGGTTCTACTTTTGTAACAGAAGTACATAACCCTGAAATGTACCTACTTATCAAATTTAAAATTAAACAATTATATATCTGGCCACTACCAGCACTAGAGCAGGACTGTTTCTAAATAAAAGATTCTAAAGCTAATTTTTTTTGGTGTTTTGCAAATGACTTCTACAAAATGTTACGTCAAGAAACCCCTGTGATGCTTACCTGCTTATCACTATTTACAACTGTGCAAAATTATAATGTTATAGGGAAAATGCTGCCAAATCAAAATAGCATCCTTCAGCACAGAAAAATTAGTGGAACCTAACTTTCAGAATGTAATATAATTTATCAGAAAGCTCCTTGCAATGATATCATGCACCTGACACTATGTTATTACCTGGACATCAGTGTGGCTGCTGTTTGAAGGAGAAGATGCATTCTGTGGGGAAATAAAAAAGGACACATTTTTCAGTAAGGGTAATACAGTGCTATTGGGAGAGAACCTCCTAAACCTAAACAGAATTCTCTGTTGTGGAAACTAAATCCTTCTTTTTGTAGGTAATACAGCAGGGAGCTGTAACAGCAGCAGTCGCTCAGAAAAGGTGACAAGAATGGTTTACCTGTACATCATAGGCTCTTCTACTTAAAGCATGTGATGTATCCTGCAAAAAACAGGAACATTAGCTATTAGGAGATTAAAACTCTCTGATGAGTAATAAGCCTTCTTTTTTCCCCCCTGTATTTATTTATACCAGCTCCAGATCCTTTATTACATACATTGAGTAGGAATGTCTTATTGTAAAATAAAAGGTTATTTGCACATAATTTTTATAGGCTACTGCTGAGTCTGACTTAAAGCTATACAATCCTCTCCACAACCTGCTGAGCACAGTAAATTACCAAACATTATTCTTTCTTACTTCATTATTCTGTCTTTCTTATAAGCTAAATTTTTAGCTGTCCTTTGTTTGTCTGATATTCATTTAATATTAACTGTAGCTCGGACCAACTCTGTATGTGCTTAATGAGGAGCAGGAATTTAAGCTGCCCTCTACTTCAAAGCGTGATTTGCATGTCTCTTTTTCATATATTTATATTTCCTATAAAGAAACTTGTGCAAAGAGCAAACAGCCAAGTAATTTTATTTTAATTTTTCCTTAAGTAGAAGAATATTAATTAGAACAACATATTTTCAGAAAAAATTAGTCATAATTAGGACAAATTAGGTAAAGTTAGGGCTAAAATCCTACAAGCAGTCAAAAAAGAAAAGAAAAAATGTTACTTACTCGGGCAACGAGAACTTTCTTCTTTGCACAACCACCAGAACTCTGTAAAGCAGCCGAAAGTGGAGTTTATAAGTGGAGTTATCTGCACTAAATACTTTAGCAAAAATCTACTGCTTGTCAAGGTCACATATTTTGGAAGATGAAAATGTCTGAATATTTTTAATATCATTAAGGGTCTTAAAAAGCATATTCTTTGTCTGTTTTCCCTTTATCCCTGTTCAATCAGAAGTTCCTGCCTTGAAGACTCTCCCTCAGCTAAATCATCATGGTTTGGAGAACAATCTGTACATGTTTGGTGCAATACTAAAGTAGCAGATAGGAAAAATAGGGAAAGCAATGAAGCAGTACAGTGTATGGCTGACAACTGAAGAAAAGGCAAGTATCTGGTGACAGGAGGTTACTCTAGATGGCAGTACAACAAAATGAGGCTGTGACAGATGAAAAAAGCTTTTCTATGAACAGAAAGAAGAAAGGAAAAATGTAATTTATTTACACAACAATATATTTGCTTAGTCACAATCTATCCATGTTTATCACAGTTTCTGTTTGTAGGACAGATGGAAAGTCTTGACAGAGAGAGAGAGTTACTGGGGACAAATGTTACTTTACAACAACAGCATAAAAGAGAGTTTAAATTTGAACAAGTGAAAAAAGCTGGAGGTAGCTACATGTCTCATGTACACAGGTGGTTAATTCCCAAAAACTATCCAGTCAAAGTGCATTCACTATGAAGAAAATGTATCAGTATATATTCAGCATTGTGCAGTTTTTAATAATTGTACAACAACCTTGAGTACAGAGAAATAATTAACTTTTTGAAGGGTACTATAAAACAATCATACACTGCAGTTAGAGGTCCATGGGTCTAATGTGGAAGTGTTCAGTTACTAACACTGTCATTAATCATAAGAACTTGAATACTACAGGAGAAACTAAGTACTTACCTGACTCTTGGCACTGTAAGTAGTGTCACTCTGGAAAATAATAAATTATGCCTTTTTTAAAGAATTTTTTAAACACAGTAAGCTTACAGAAAACTAATTTTTTTCTGATACCAAATATGGACATATTCCACTTGTTGCTTACATTCTCCACAGCCTTGTCTAAATTAGTTTGAAATTCTACATTTACAATCTGAAAAACATTTTAATAGCAACTTTAGACTGGTAGAAATGGAACATGAAAAGTAGTGGAATATCCATCACTACTTCTTTCATTCACTGTATGTATTTAAATATTTCCTTTTAGATTTTTTTTTTAATTTCTATAAATTGTATCCTTAGATTTTGGGGAAAGTCTTCTGTTACTGCAAAGCCCTTAAAAACTTTTATCCATATTTCATTTTATCAAGTTAAATGCATTTAAAAGCATGAACTGTATCTGTAAACACATACATGACAACTTTCAGCAAGAAAAATGCAGTTGCTGAAACAGCTATTAGTGTGGGAACTCAGCATTCTGTCTGGATCATTCTGCTCAAAAGACTGCATCTAGCAGTGCAATATTTTCTCATCTACACAGAAAATGTGGTGAATATGTATTAGAGAAAGCACACTCACATCATCACAAGCATTGGGATTATCATCTGGGGAATATTGTGAATCCTAGAAAAAACAGCAGATACCAGTTATTTCCTCACCAAATAGATTACTAAAAATACACTTTGATATTGTACTCTGAAAACCAGAAGAGATGCTCATGCAAAGGAAAATCTGAGTTAAATTGAATTAAGAGCTTTATAAGAATAAGAAGAAAGGAGCCAAATCCATAGCTGCTAATAGTTGCTTGCAGGGAATGTTCCAATCTTCAGTAAAGAAAAAAACACCCAAACCCAATCCAAAACACAAAGAGCAGAGAAGCAACCAAGTTTTATTACATCTTTGAGAAAGATGATGCAGGGACTACAAATAATATGTAATTAGGAGAAAGAAAGAACTAGTTACCTGATTATCATAATAGGTGTCTGAGGAGGATGATCCACCCTTTAAAACAAACAAACCAAAATCAGGATGTAGAAACCTGATTTTGAGCAGACTATCTAAAACTTATATGAAGTGATGTATAAGTAGAGAAATAGAATATTACTTACTTGGCCACCACCGTAGTTTTGTGAGTAGGATCCATCCTACAAAAAAAATATAAACCCTACATCAGAAGAAATTGATTTTCTTCAGCAACTGTAAAGCTGGAATAAACAATTGCCTAGGATTCCTTTGAACAAATACAACTTCAAAGATATCTGGGTAACTTATGATAAGAATTCTTACCAGGAGAAAATCAAGGTCTACCTACCTGGTTGCTACCATAATTTTGTGAGGATGATGATCCACTCTGCTAAGAAGCAACAACAAAAAATTATTAGAATTAATATTATAGTATTGAAGATTGGATATTGATCAACCAAGTAAAAGCTCGTAAGATCCCAGTGAGAGGCAATAATAATCTAGTACTTACTTGGCTACCACCATAGTTTTGTGAGTATGATCCACCCTGTGAAAACAAAACAGCAACAGTTAAAATGCTGGAGAGCTTAATTTTATCAGAATGCACAGAGCTATCTTAGGTAGCCGAGTTCTTTCTATGTAAGTGGAAGTTCAGGGCTGATAAAAAGTATGTTTGCAGGGAATGAGTTACAGGCTGGAGCTGGGGAGGCCCTGCAAGTGTCTATACCCTCATGAGCAAGAAAACTATTCTCTGAATTAGAAATGCTTGAAAAGTTTTTACCTATGGATAATAAAGAGCTGCCTACCTGACTACCCTGTGATCCACCCTGTGATCCACCCTGTAAATTATGACAAAAATTAGGCATGATTTAGACACTTGCTGTTTGGATATGGAATATTTTTAGTGAAAGTTATGATACTTGTTTAGGAAGAGTAAGAAGGAAAGGTCTATATGCAACATGGATATAACTTCTAATGTAGTAAGCACAGACTGCCAATAGTGCAAAGGCAAAGACTATATAAGAAATATATGAAAAATTCTCCTGGTTGCATTATTACACAGAAAGCTGTGACCTGGGAGACACCATGACCTCGAGAAATAGGTTTTAAATAAAATACTCAGTATGTTTCAACATGCCCCCTTTAGAAGAGCAAGGTAACCTCTCCAAGTGAAATCAGAAAAGGCATTTTTTAGAAGCATTAGCGCCAGAAATGTATAATAAGAACAGTGAAATCCTAAGCTATTGAAGTGAGTGGGATATTTGCCATTCACTAAAGTTGGACTGAGGCTCCATTCAGAAGAGGCAAAGGAAAATGAAATAAAAAGTATTATCTTTCAATGTTTTAGCAGATTTTAGAACAAAATTTAAGCATCTCCTTTAGTCTTACAAAAGAATAATTCCTCCTTACAAAGAAAAAAATTGAAATGCTATTATAAAATAATTACATAACTATGTAATATATTATCCTTTCAAGTCATAGTAATATATTACATATGGTGCACTGTATACACTATACCAAATTATAATAATATATTTTAGCATCATCTATGTTGTTTGTATATTTATAAATACAGTATAGGTTTATAAAACACAGTATTTGTTGATACAATAATCTACTTCATTTTTCTATTCCTTGTAAAAACGCAGTAAGAATCAAAAGAAGTATCATGAAATAGAAATCATCTATTGCTGTTTTCTTACTAATTTTCAACGTGACAGAGACTACTTCTTTAAACACAGCTGACACCCTTTAGGATAGTGGTTTTGACAGTTCCAACATTGAAACTTGTAACAAATACACATGTAGCTGTCTCTAGCTCCCTGCACAAACTGAACTAATTCTTCAGCCAGTTTGTTCCAGCAACCTCAGGTGGCAGTCCTAAAATATTTTCTGACTTTTGACAGAAGTCCCCAGAGAGGCTGGTGAGCTCCAGCCCTGATTTAAGTCATGCTAGTTAAGCAACTCTGCAGCATAGTTCTTCTTTCCAGAATCTGACCTTAATGCGCTATAAAGCTAGACTTGTCACAGATATAATCCTAGGAAAAAGGGGGGAGGAAAGACTCCAAAGCCCCTGTGATACTCCTGTGTACAGGAAGATGGTGAGTTCTAATCTCCTGACTGGTAAGATTACATAGATTTGTGCTGCATGAATCTGAAGTTGTTGCTCATTGAGTTAGTGGCAAAACTAATTTTGGATGCATCTTAAAATAAGAGCAGAAAGAGCATTTACCTGGTGGCAGGGATTGCTATCATATGAAACACCCTGTTAAAAAAAACCAAACAAACAAAAAGGTAAATGCCCAAATTTTCATTATTCTTTCGAAGTAATTAGCTTTCTTAAAATTTCTTCTGTGAGAATTAGTGTAACCAAACTCAACACAAAACTTTACAGAGGGTGAGTTTAATTTTACTTAATCTTTTAGGTGTGTGGCTTTACCCTCTGTCACTTTGATCCTCAAATACTCAGAAGCATCAAGACACAATCACACAGGTGATCAAAGGAGGACTACTTGTGAGCCACATGGAAAGAAAGGTAGGCTGGCAATTGATGTCTCTCTGTAACATCCTAGTTCCTCTTAAAAATCATCCTTGATCTTAATAAAGATTAACTGTTGGTGGGTTTTGTTTTTTTTTTTCGCAATCAGCTGTTACTGATGAGTGACTGTCTATCTCAGTGTGACCATCTTGCTAGATTCACTCACCATAGATTTTAGTCAAGGCTGCTGCTAATACCTTTTATTTCCTGTTTTGGGTATATTTTGGCTACAGCCAAAATGTCACCTGTGACACAGGAATACAGGTCGAAGGAATACATTTTTCAGTGTTTATCAGTTTCATTGCTGTTTTATCTGTGTCCATGTTGTACTGCTTCTTAAGATGCTTTCACATGCATTTCCATTCGTGCTTAACTTACACCAATCCTAATATTTCTGCTAAATACTTGTGAAAATGTCTGTATTTATATTTAGCTTCAATTCTTTCCTCAATATATTTATTTAATCGTAGTTTTACTACACTCATGATCCTTTCATTTGGGATCTCATCACTGAAGACTGTTGTAGACCTATACAAGTTGAAATGGAACCAGGATGAAAACTACTAATTTAATTCCTGTTCCACAGGAGCCACTCTCTAATCCCATAAAGCTAGACTTTTCTACAGAAAAGTCTTTTCTATCTTTTTCTATAGAAAATAAATTGAGCAACACCCAAAAATTCCCAAGGAAAGATTTGATCTGTTTATTAAGTAGAGAGATTAATCACTTTTCTGTCTTCAGTGTGTAACTCTAAATGGGAGAAGCACTTCCTACTGGGTACAATGACAAACAGTATCAGCCTTTCCTGATCTCTGTGCTAGATAAATCCATGCAACAATGAAAACAATTGATTGAAACTAGCAAACATTATGTAACTTATTGAAAAATATGTCACTACTGGAAAGAAAGTTGCATCTAGTTTTCAAATAGTTTGGAGAAAAAGGAACTTACTTGTCCACAACCACTGCTGCTACTTGAAGAAGATCCACCCTGCTTTGGAAAAAAAGAAGAGCATCCTGTAATCCCAATACTAATTTTCATTCCTTTTCTCCATTTCAAATACATAAACAAATTTTCAAGTGTTTTAGATGCCTGGCTGCTTAAAAGGTAAAAGATCATCTACATCCAACTGTGAATCTTCTGGTAAAGTATTGTGGCTGTTGAACACTATAGTGCATCAGAAAGCTGACACCTACATGCACTCCTTTGTA